GAGGGAGGGAGGGAGGAAGGAAGGAAGGAGAAAGAAAAAAGGAAAAGAAGAAAAGAAAAGAAAGGAAAGGAAAGGAAAAGAAAGGCATTGCAACCAGTAGGCCTTGGTCTGTGCCCATCCTATACTATGACAGTGACTGGAATTCAATAAAAACTGGAGCCAACAACAGGTTATCCACCAATGTTCCCAAGACTGTTGTCAGAATCGGACCAAATACTACGCAGGCTCCTTCAACCAGCTAGGGCCCTGTGTCAGAAAACCTGATGGGCAGCGGAGCTGCCTCGTACTTGGGCGACAGGTTCTAAATGCAGTGCATAAATCAAACAGGCACGATCAACATTATTCTATAAAATCCTTTAAATCCTTTAGAAGAAAATTATAGCTATATGCATATAATCACATTCAGTAATAGGTTTGGAGTCATACTTTCAAAAACTTTCCCTAACGAGATATAAATTAAAGTACGTTTCATTCTGTATTCATCCATTCAACAAATCCTCAGTGCAGTAAACAGCACACAGTAAGGCCGTGCTACAGAAAATGCACACCTTACCAAAATAAGCTCAGGCAGAGCCTCGGGTGCATCAAGAGTTGTGCTCTATGCAGACGGTTCACTGACCTTACTGAGCAAGGGCATTTTAAAGCTTACAAAACATTTCAACAACCTTCAAATCATTTAGAAAGTTAATAGCAATAAAAAAATTGAATATTTTTGTAAAAACATTAGAGTGAGAATACTTTTACCTCTTTCAGCAAAAAAAAAAAAAAAAAAATACATATAGATGTATATAAATAAATTACCTGTGGCATTTGTCATAACTTTTCTTTCAAATATACATACTGCCATGTTATTTCGATAAAAACAGACACATATGTACTTGGATAAAACCTTGCAACAGCCCACGAAAATCCCATCACACCAGATGACACAGCGAAGAAAGAATCCATTTAACTCCTTAGAAGGAGACGCTTATGACACCAGCTCCCCGGTAACGCTGCGCACGCGACCGGGACTCAGCACTGAGCGAGCTGCCCCGCAGCGCACGTGCCCTTGGGAAAAGAAGCTTTTCAAAGGGTGGCACCGAGAGCAGGTATCACAAAGGAAGGAAAGTAACAGATTTGAGTGCACAACATCAGGATGGATGGGATTCATAAACTAAGTTTACAATTGAACAAGCACGCTGGGAAAATACGGCATACCCAGAGTGAGTGCTAAGCAGGACGCTGGGAATGTTCATACATTGCTGGCAGGCATTACAAACTGGTACAAGTCATCCAGAGCGGTGCATGCCTGTAATCCCAGCTACTGGGGAGAACGAGGCAGGAAGAGTGCAAGTTCTGGGCCAGCCTGGGCAATATTCTAAGACATATCTCAAAAAAAGAAAACTACAAATTGGTACAACTACAAATTGGTACAATTTCTTTTTTTATAGGCATATTTATAGAGTAAATGTTCAAATTGTTTATCACATTTCTAGAGTTTATGAGAAAATAATTAAGAATGTTCACCTTAATACTCCTTATGACAGAGAAAAACATGAAAATAAAATATGTAGAATACAGCTGGGCATGGTGGCTCATGGCCATAATCCCAGCACTCGGGAGGCTGAGGCAGGAGGATCATTGCAAGTTCGAGACCAGCCTGAGCTACAAAGTGAGCTCAAGACTGGCCTGAACTGCATATCAAGACCCTGTCTCAAAAAAAAAAAAAAAAAAAAAAAAAAGTAGAGTACTGGCTTAGACTTTTATGGGCTGGTTTAGAACATCTATTAAATGGAAAATTATACAATTATTCTAAAAAGCCACTTTAATAGCACTATACTGTCTGGGGGGAAGGAATGTAATTAGTTAAATGAAAAGACCAAAACCATTTACATGTATCATCCTATTTTCACAAAACTTCAAATTTGTGCTAATAAATGGGTTATATATGCACAGGAAAATATCTAGACATATTAACCTATGTCCACCTTAAACAGAGAAATATCTAGTAGAATAATGCTTATTTTCTTTTTGCTTAATAGTATATTATTTTTCTGCAATAAATGTATCACCAAAGATAAAACTTCAATATATATAACTATATAAACATTTAAGACTATTATATATGAAAAACTCCAGAAAAATTCAAAGCTAAATAATAGATGGGGGTGTAAGCACATGATTAGCATGTGCAAAGCTCTGGGTTCAATCCCTAGCACCCAAAAGAAGGAAAAAGGTGTAAGTTAATTAAAAAGTACCAAAATCTTACAAATTAAAATAAAAAGGACACGAAAATGTTCAAGAGATATAAAATCAAAAAATGGCTTTCATGATAAATTTTTCATTAACTATACATTTTAAAAAACTATCAATGCAAAAAAATACAACATCCTATAATCAAAATAATAATATATCCCACTTATTCTACAAGTATTTTTAATTACGTCAGTCATTACTAGTGAGATTCTAAGGTTGGGAAAAGAATCATCAAAAAAAGTTAAACAAGTTTTAAAACTTTCTGTACTTTGAAACAACAGTTTCCCCTCTAGAAATCTAAGTTTCAAAAACGTGGGAAAGGATGCAAGTATCAACACACCCACAGTGACATTTTTTTCCAAAGTGAACAGGAAACTGGAGAGGACCTGAATGTTTTCCAATGAGATAATTTTTAAATAGACTACAGTACAGGCTGGGGTGCAGCTCAGTGGCAGAAGAGTTGCCAACCATGCATTCACAAGGCCTGGGTCTGATGCCCGGCGTTAGGCGCACATCGACCGTGCACTACCACATGGGTGGTCGTTAAGATCTGTCCAGGACTCGGGGAGAGGTTTGCTTGTGACTGAACTCAGAGCCCGTGCATACGCAGGCACTCACCCCTGAGCTACACCCACCGCCCTGCGACAGACTTTCATGGCATGGGAAGCACTCAGGGTGAAATGCCCGCACGCATCACCTGGCTGCCTTCAGCTTGAAGCATCTCTTGCTTCTCCTCGGGAGTTCTTTTCATCTCAAACCTCTGAATAAATTCACAGTCTTCAGCAGAAATCATCTGCCCTCTGGAAAGTAAGAAAAAGTTATTTTGTTCAGTAAGCGTTAAGCAGCCACTCTGAGAGAGAGCACAGGAGTTCCCATCCCTTCTTCTCTCCTTAGTAGTGCTCCATAAAAGTTATAGGAGATCAAAGTTCCGGACCAGGCTCCCGCACGGGGCCCCAAAACAGTGACTGAAACCTAAACGGAGCCTCCTATACTAAAGCTGCACATGACCACACTGAACCCAAGTCACTGTGTGGCCTCGAGAAATCAAGTCAGGTAACAGCTAAACTTCCCAAGCAGACCGGCTTCAGTGGGCACAGTGCGGGTCCCTCTGCCTTAACCCTAACAGAAAAGCGAGCACGCCACCTGACGCTAGCTGGTATCTCTCTGCTGCTCTGGCTGCCGACCTTAGAGTAGCGTGCAGTGACTCCTCCGCTTCCGTCCTGTTTCTGCTTTCTTCAGCCTTTGTCTACAAAGCCGAGCTCCCTGCTCAGCCCAAATTCTGTGTCATGGAGGGAAGAGTGCCTGATTCTTGTGCCACAGACAAAGTCAGTTCAGATGTTTAAGTCTGTTGCCACTTCTGTCTCCTGACACGTGTCTCCTGTCACAAGGCTGACGGGAGAGTCCTGCCATCCAGCAAACGTTTTCGCAGCTTAGCCCTACCACCTAATGGACCTAACGGTGGTTTGACCTTTGCGAAACCTGAATTAATCCACCTGCAAAACGGGAACGATAACCATTTTCTTCCGAGGGGCTGCATCAAGGACAAAATTAAATAATGCATATAAGCTGCCTACCGCAGCACCTGGCCCGCACCTCGTAGCATTACCCAAAATCTCACGCTCTTCGCCGCCCCCAAGCCAAACAATGCACTGGGCCTTCCACGTCACCACAAACCGAAGACGCTTTGCCCTGAACTTCTACAACCATCCCCTCCAATACATGTGCCCTCCAGACCCTGAATAAGGTCACCCCCCCCCGAAAACCTCTCTGCCGTGATCCGTGTCCTCCCAGCCGTCCTCCCTCGGCATCCTGTTTCCCTCCCTGCTCCCCAGGGCCCCTGCATTGTGGGTTTTGGTGCTCTAGGACCTCTCTCCGTGGCTCAGCTCTTGGAAACTTGCTTCTAGCTCCCCAGCTCTTTGCTCCAGGGAGATTCGAATCAATACAGTTCCATCCCCCTTCTCTCTCACATCATCACGTCTTCCACCTCCATGTGAAAACACATTTTCACAAAGGCAGCTTCACCACCACCGTCATCCTTGCTTGCAAACCTGACCAGATCTCCGAACTTCACTTATCAAGCAACACAGACTCCCACCCTGATTTTCAGATGCAGACTCTTCTTGTTCAGTGACACGTCCAAGGGCAGGCGATATAGCTCAGCAGCACGGCGCCTGCCTGGCACGCGCAAGGTCCTGAGTTCAATTCCTGGTACCAAGTAAGTAAACAAATAAATAGAGGACAGGTCCAGCCAGGCATGGTTCTCGCACCTGTAATCCCAGCACTCAAGAGGCTGAGGCAGGAGAACTGCCAGAAGTCTGAGGCCAGCCTGGGGTATGTAGTGACTTCAACACCTGAACTACATAGTGAGACCCTGTCTCAAAATTTTTTTAAAAAAGGACGTGTCCACGAAACAGCCTTGCTGCCCTCTGTACCACTCTGGGCATGTCATGCTGGCCTGAAGGAGACCAAAGGGAACCACAACTAACTGCCTGAAACTCCCCAAACACTGCTCCTTCTTCCCAACTTCAGCTCCTGCCAGGGGCTCCTTTCACTACAGCCCCTGCTCCTCTGCCTGGATGACCCCCCAGCATCTTCACGCGTTCTGCAAGAACTTCCCCGATACTCCCAGGCAGTCATTCGTTCCTTCCTTATTAGGGCTTTCTTTTTGTTACATACATCTTACACTGGAAAAGCTGGAATTACACAACTTGTCATCTAATTTGTTTCAAGTTCTGTTTCCTCATTAGATCTGAAACTCAGCAGCAAGGGTGCTACATCATGATTCTTGAGTCCTCACAACAGTTTTACTGGATTCCAGTTTGACTGAAACAGCCATGCCTATTCATTTCTGTACTGTGTAATTAAGAAAAAGCTCAATCAAATACAAACACTGTATTTTCCTAACATGTTAATGAGCGTGTGTCAAAAGCAAACGGTCATAGCCTAGTGCTCACCTGCCCTGACACTCACTGAATTTGGACCTCACTGCTGTATTAGTACAAGTTTGCAGTACAGAATGATTACATGCACCACGGGGAACTGGTATGTGTATATTACACAGCTTAATTTTTTTTTATCCCCTACCCCTCCTACGCCTCCCTGTTCCTTCCAATTTTGGGTCCCCTTCCATTTATTTTTCTTTACTTCTTTTTTTCCCCATCTCCTTCCCCGCCCCTCCCTCTACTCTTTACCCTTCCATTTGGAAAAGATCCCCCTGCCTCCTATTGTCTGTCTTCACTTTGTATTTGGGGTTTCTCATGTAAGAGGCACCGTATGATATTTAAACTTGTACTCCTGATTTATTTCTCTGAATACTGTGGTCTCAAGGTGCATCCATCTACCTGTGAGCTGTTCTGGTATTGTGTTTAGTGCTTGACATATACGCTACAACTTGTTGATGTGAATTACTCTGCGACTTGCTACCCTTTCCAACCAAACAATTTGTTTAATATTCATTTCTGACACTCAGCACACCTCCCAGACCCAGTTAGTGAGGAGTACCTAGGTACCACTGCACTGGCTTTCTGACACTGAAAACCCTCCCACACGTCTTATCCTATCAGTATATGATATGACATGCAAGATTTACTCATTTTGCATGCGTCGTGTCCAATCCCAATAGTCTGTAAACTCTTTCAGGGAAGGCATGTTGCACACCCACCAGTGTGCACACATCGAGGGGCTCAGCAGCAGGGACATGGTCAGCACTGGGGAACATTTGCACATAAACACACATTAGCAGGGCTCTATTAAAGACACTTGTGAAAGGGACGCAGAAAGAATGAGGGAAAAGGTAGAACACAAGGCGTGCAGTACAGAGGCCAGGAAACTAGAGAAACAGAAGAGAAAAACAACTGCAAACTACGCTGTCACTAAAAACATTCCAAATGTTAACAGTAGAGGAAGTCCTGCTAGACGGCTAGTGTTTTATGAGCAACAGTATTATTCTGTTTGGGTTATAAACAAATCCAGGGTTTATAAACAGAAAACTCCTTGCCTTTAGTCTAAATACTCTGGAATAAGTAAGAAATTAGGGAACAGCTTAGAATCCTAACTTCATAATCAATTTAAACAATGATACAGATGTCAATGAACAGAGTAAGTATCAATAAGCGTCCCCCACCCTGCTCCTCTGCCCTTCAGCCACTGGCCGCATGATAATCTGCATCTTTCAAGTGGGAGTCTGGAAGTCCTCCCCCCCATATATCAAATCAATCACCAAGTCTTTCTCAAACCTACCCAACCCGGTCTACTCTATTCTAACATCCTTCAGTACTGCTACTGACTTTCCCTACCTCCCAGCCTGTTACCCACAAATGCACCCTTCACACTGTCAGCAAAACAATCCAACCAAGATAAACCTGATCATGTGATAAGAACTTCAACAGCTGTAGCAGTGGCTTTGTTCCTTTCTCTTTTTTTCCCAGTACTAGGGTTGAACCCAGGGGCTCATGCATGCTAGGCAAGCACTCTCCCACTTAGCTACATCCTCAGATCGTTTGTAAATGTTATTTTGAGACAGAATCTCACTAAGTTACCCAGCCTGGCCCCAAAATTGCAATCCTCCTCCTCAGCCTCCTGAATAGCTGGGGTTACAGCCATAAAGGACCATATGTGGGTATAGCAGTGTTTTTTAAACTGTGCTCCGTGGAACCCTAATGAGGATGGCGAATGATCTTAAGCAGAAGACTGAGATACACGCTCCTACCCCACTCTACTACTATTTTCATCTATTTTACAGACAACTACTTCATTAGATTCCACATCCACTACGGGTTTCACAGCTTAAGTATCACCTCAACAAATACTACTGACAGGATCAGTTGCAAACTACTTTCGAAGGCAGCCACGTACCCAAGGACCTTCACAACCAGCTCCAGGCTCCCTCTCAGCCTCAGCTGTCCCCACTGTCTGCCTCCAAGAATGAATGACTCCCACTCTGCACGCCGTTTTACTTCCCTGCCTTTGCTCACGATTTCTTATATGTGGAAAGCCGCTCTTTGCTGCCACACGGCTGAGTACCGTGCATCCTTGAAAACTCAGTTCAGGGACCATCTCCTTCCAAAAAACTTCCTAAGACTAGGAAACACTGCCCTTTGTCTGTGGTCTCATCACCCCTGGGCGTCGCTCTACTATCACAGGTAACACCTTCAATCAAAATGAATGTTTATATAGTGAGCTCCCTTATGGATCACAGTGTACATCCTTTGTGAAGCCATTAAGCCAAAACCTGCCTTAAATTAGTGGTTAGTCAAGAAACAGTAGATGAATGACTATACTGAGACTTTAAAAAACCACTTTTGTATGCTGTAGATCCCTCCTACAACAAAGCAAACTGCTAAATATAAGATTCTTCAATTTGTTCTTCACAATACATGTGTACATCGAACCGATTTCCCTATTGATTCACTAATAAATACGGCAAAGCAGATAGGAAATCAACTCAACATGATAAAACATGGTCAAGAATAAATTAACGCTAAATTTATAAACATAGAATACTGTAAGTAACACCAACACAGTAAATCTTAATATACACAAGAAGGGGGAAAAACTAAAGTTGATTGAATGCACAGTCTCCAACATTCTAATGCTTGTGTTCCACTGCGCTCATCCTTGAAACACACTAGTTCAGCAGCAAACCGGAAGAGTATGTACGGACTCCCACTTTACATCTATTTTACTCAGAGTAGGTAAATGATTTGCCTAAGATCACTAACCTAATAGAACCAGAATTCAAATCCAGCTCTTAAACCTTAACTGCAAAATTGCTAAGAGCTACTTTTCAACCACAGGTCCCCACTCTGCCCAGCAAGGCACACAGGGCCTAAAAAGCCTGTCTGCCCGTCCTCTCCTCCCTCCCCCTAAGCCACGAACATCCCTCCCAGGCTTCCTACTGGCTCGAAAAGGGCGTTTTCTAGACACGGTCAGAAACACTTGGTACAGCAGCTCTACTTCCCCATTAGAATCACAAGCTGTTTCCACCACATCCACTAAGACAGTCAACTGTTCCAAGGGGAGCCGTTTCTTCCACGTTTGTTGGTGTTTTTCCAGTACTTCTCTCACAGATGCATGACCATGGAAGAGGCTGATCTAAAAGCACATGATTACCCGTGATTCACAGCAAAGCCGCACTTACTGAAGGTAAGACTGCCAGTTCACTTTATTGGCTCGAACCTCTGCAGCCTTGGCCGCAATAATGTTGGTCGGGACAGCAGCGTCGACAGCGCCTCGGATATCCATTTTGGTCATCTAAAGTTTCTGATCTCTGACGTTTTCCAGATCTTCCATTTGGATGCGAGGTAAAAACAGAACAGCAAGCGTTATTTTTCACAACTACTACTATCATTAGTATCACCATGGTCTTTAGTATCACGAATATCTCCGATCACTTTCATGTCCGCAGGCATTCAGCTCAAATAGCAAACATCCTAAGTCTGCAAACACTAGCGCTGAATTTCAGCTCTTACCCAGTGCTCCATGAACGGGTTCCATACAGCTTTGCCTTTCCCGGGACTCACTTTTTTATTATTAGCCCTACTATTACAGTAAGACTTTTAAAGTGACCACTGGAGATACGGACGTCAGAAAGCACGACTAAAACAAGCATACAAAATAGAAAAAAAATTTGGTGCTGAGGACAGACACCAGGGTCTTGTGTATGTGTGCTAGGAAACTATTTTAAGTGTATTTATTAGGTTCAACTTTCCTTCTCTGACAGAAACAATACAAACCTGTGTAACACAGAGGAAATTACTGTACATAATTGATGTTTACTGAACACTCTGAAGTGACACATTAAAAATTATAAATCCGTTCTAAAATAACGCACTCAAATTAAAGTGGAACCGTAACTCTCAGAAGACAGCCGTTTCCTTTTTCAACATAGATTTACAATACAATGTTTTCAAAACCAGTTGTGGTAGGAAACTTTTGGAGCAAACATCAATTACAATTTAGGTACAACCAACAATGGGAGTCTGATCTGCTGGTAAGAACCTATAAGAATGAGCTTTTGAGTAATTTTCACGCCCAAACTTACGGATGAAGCTTAAGCCTACTTTGGATCCCGACACGAAGCACAGGTCTGCGCTGGCAGAACGAAAGTTCTCGGCCACCGCCACAAGAAAAGCCACAGTGCTTCCCAAATGCCCCTCGGCCTCCCCGAGGACCTTAGCCGGCGCGGGGCTTAACCTCTGCTCCCGGGATCGGCTGCCCGAACAGGCCGAGCGGCGGCCGCGGCCCCGGCGCGAACCGGCTCGGGCTGGGACCGGCGGGAGCTG